CACAAAAGCCGTGACATACAAATTAATATCCCACTACTACCTAGCACACTGCTGTGTATTGACCTATACAAAACCACACCAGTCAAACGGATAAAAACATGTGAGAATTTCAGTCATCTTATAACAGGTACTAGAAAGTTATTTTTTACATAGGCACCTGTGGCTCACACCTATAATCCCAGCTACTTAGGAGGCTGAGATAGGGAAGATCAGGGTTTAAGGCTAGCCTGGGCAGAGTTCTCCAAAATAACCAGAGCAAAATGGAATGGAGGTGTGACTCAAGTGGTGGAGTTCCTGCTTTGTAAGCACGAAGCCCTGAGTTCTAATCCCACCAAAAAGAAGAGAAAAAAAAGAAACTGCACGGTTTCTTTGCACTGCCTCCTTTCTTGGGCCCACAAGTTAACTAAAAGCAGGAGAAAAGCTTGGCATCCCTGCCTCCATTTTGCATCCGTCTCCTTTATTCTGAGTCTCTCTCCCCTGAGGGTTCCAGAAAGAACAGGACTGATGGTTGATAACACTTTTACTATGAGAGACCAAAATGTCCCCCAAGGAAGACCTTACCCCCCCCCCCGCCCCAAAAAAATGAGGACAATGACTTACGATGACAAGGCTGCACCCTTGAGCAGGAGTGATCATCTCCTGGGAATCAAGTCTCTCCCCCACCACTTGATGACAGAGATAACAACTTCCCTGGGAATCCTCACAGAACTGAGGATTAAGCCTGAGATAAAGATCAACCTGGCCACACTTTGCCTGGGACTGCTGAATTATGCAAACCTCTCACCTCTTACCCTGATTCTTTCTCTATTTGTACTGGAAGTGCTGGCATTGTCTCTTCAGGTGAGCTCCTGCTGAATAACAACCTTCTTTCTCTGCCCCTCACCGCTACTCTGAATTTCAAGTGTGGGGTGCAAGTGGCCGAACCTGCCTTGTTGGAATCCTGGGAGAGCTGGACCTTGGCCTAGAACTTGGTACCGTGTTTGCCACTCTGAGATTCTTGCTACTGAATTAGTGTGAGGGACAATGGAAGCCCCAAACTGGACTACTTAGGCCAAGAAACTGTGTGCTGAGAAAGCCACACCTTTAGTAAAGATTCCACAGGCTGCTTGACCTAGGATGACTAGAACACCATTATTATGGAGACATGGAATGTAGAAGGTCAAGAGCAAAATTTATTTAGGGCCCTTTAATAGCCACTTACCTCTAATGTTCTCCGATTATGGAAACTTCTTGGAATATGTCACTAAGTTTAGCAGATTTCAAGCCTCCTCCAACCCTAAACTAAAAATGCTGTAAACTAATATCAGAAACCTATGGAAGAGATTTCCCCAGCCTGGATACAGTGACACAAGCAGGTAATCCTAACTACTTGGGAGGCAGAGATTGGGAGGATCCAGATTCAAGTCCAAGCAAGCCCTGGTCAAAAGTTCTTCAGATCCTCATCTCAAGCAATAAAAAGCTGGGTGTGTCATCCCAGCCATTTGGGAAGCAGAAATAACAGAAGGATCTTGGTCCAGGGGCAGGAGGGAGGGAGGGAGGGGGAGGAGAGAATCTCCCAGCCTTCCGCCCATGACCTCTTCTACCCTCCTGGGAACTTCTCTGATTCTCATTTATCTCACCTTAATATGATTTAAAACAATACATCAAAGGGCAAAGTTATATCAATTCAGTTTTGGCTTTATTTTTATTCTAGATTCAACAATATTTTATTCCATAGAGTAGAATAATAAGTGTTCTGATGAATCAGAACAGGCTGGTTTCATAGTCAGAAAAGGGCTAAAAAGCAGAAACAAACAAAACTAAAAAGTGGATTGGCCTTTTCCAAGTTATTTTTCTAGTATGGCAGGGATGGTAAGTCAAAAAAATAGAAGAATAATTGATTGGCTAAGATCATGTTGCCTTTTTGTGTAAGGATTATTTATTTTTTAATTTATTTTATTTTTTAAATTTTATTCATATGTGCATACAATGCTTGGGTCATTTCTCCCCCCTTCCCTGACCCCCTCCCTACCCCCCCCACCCCCTTGATACCCTGCAGAAACTATTTTGCCCTTATCTCTAATTTTGTTGAAGAGAGAATATAAGCAATAATAGGAAGGACCAAGGGTTTTTGCCAGTTGAGATAAGGATAGCTATACAGGGAGTTGACTCGCATTGATTTCCTGTGCATGTAAGGATTAAAGCAGACAGAGGAAGCTCCATTATCAAGCCAATTGAAAATTAAAACTTGAGTAGAGAATTTGGCCATTGTTTCTCTAATCCTGACTTTTCAGAACAGATAGATAGATAGGTTAGTTTAAGCTTAGCGAGTCACAGGGCAGGGTGGCCCATGTCTGCCATCCAGTCCCTTATCAGCCCTGGGTGTGAGGGGGAGTTATCGAGCTGGAGGCTCTTTGGTTGAGGCTAGCCAGGGCAAAAACTCAAGACCCTACCTGAAAAATCACTAAAGCATGAAAGGGCTTGATAGAAGGAGTGAGAGTGGGGCTTAAGTGGTAGAGCACTTGCCTGGCAGGCACAAGGTCCTGACTTCAAACTCCAGAACTGACAAAAATAAAACAGTGAGTGGAACTTTAATATGAGTGATTCCATTTTGATTTACATTTTTAAAAAACTTTTTTTGGTTTTGTGAGACCGAATCTGGATATGTAGTCCAGACTGGCCTCCAGCTGGAGATTCTCCTGGCTTCATCTCTGAGTGCTGGGATTATAGGTGTGCACCACCAGCCCCGATTTCTATTTAGAGTTTTAGCCTGGTATGTTAGAGCCTTAGTCCAAAACAATGGTGTCCTGTCAGTTTATTTAATAAGTGAAGTGTGACTCACACCAGGCACTCTTAACAGGCCCTAAGAGGGATCCTCCTCCCCAATTCTCAAGAACTTGATTCCAGTTCTCCCTCTCTCTCAATCTTTCTCTCTCTCTCTGAATGATATCAGGTCTGCAACAAACTGATTTTTTTTAATTCTCATTTTTGTTACACTTCCCCCAGGCTCACTCCATATAAGCCAGCCCTCTCCACTATTCTCACCCTCCTACACCACAACTTCAGGGCTCAGGACTTGGGTCTGAGGCAGCTCCTGACTTGAGAAATTGTGAAATAAATATTTGGTCTTATCCAAACTTCCTGGAAAACAGCTCCCCAAGTCCTTGGAATCTCCAAAGTGACAGGTGTCTTTTGGTGTGCTAATAAATTGACTATTGGTTGGCAGCCCATAGGTAGCTTCAAGATGGAAGCTGTTCACACAGAAAGACCAAGGCAGGATTAGAGGGTTGGGACCAGTCCCACCTTCAACCTATGGGAAAGGGAGAAGGGCTGAAGATTAAATTGGTCACCAATGGCCAACAATTTAGTTAATCATGCTTGTATAACAAAGCCTCCATAAAACCCCAAAAAGATGTGATTTGGACAGCTTCCAGATATCTGAACATATGGGAGCTTCCAGGAAGGTGAACAAAGACACATCCTCTAGCAGGGTGGCACACAGCAAATCCCAGGGACAGAAACTTCTGCACTGGGGACCCTTCTGGACCTGGCCCTTTATAACTCCTCCTCTGTTTCTTTGTATCATTTAAAATATCCTTTGTAGTAAACTGGTAAACATAAGTGTTTCTGTGAGTTGCTCTGGCAAATTAAAATCCGAGTACAAGATCCTGGAAACACCAGGTTTGATTGGTCAGAAGCTCAGGTGAAATTACCTGGGGCTTGCAATTGCCCTGGGAAGTAGCCGGCAGTCCTGTGGGAGTGAGTCCTTAACCTGTGGGATCTGCCACCACATCCAGGTAGATAGTACCAGAACTGAACAGAGTTAGAGGACACCCAGCTGGTGTGCCCTGCAGAACTGGTTGGCTGTTCTAGGGAGAAATTCCCACATACTTCCTGGTGACCAGAGTCATAGGAGTCTTATATGCTGATTGTGGAGAGTATAGGAGAAATAGATCGTTTCTGGACTGGGAAAGCTGAATCTTTCCAGTGTACCAGGAAGGATGTGTCTGTCTGCCTTTTCCCGGTTTGGATCAGGATTTGATTCCTTCCAACCTGTGAGCAGGTGGATAGGCAATCACGTGTGCTCATTTCCACTGAGGTGAGCAGCGTCGTCCCTTTCATTGGCAGATCAAGTTCTCCCTTGTTATGCATCGTTTTTGACCTTGAGCACAAACCTGCTCACAGACTCTTCAGAACATTCCGGGAGACCGTCCTAATGTCTGTTTACGTGTCTTGCACTGGGATCCAGGACCTCACTCTTACCATCAGATGTCATCTGTGTCCTGTGATGGCGTCTCGGGTGTGTGGAATGCAAACCAGGGCGGTTCTGCTCTCCTGCTGTGGCTTTCTACCCTTTCATTCTACCGTACAAAGCAGAGGCGCCCTCCCTCCTTAGTACAGTGCATCAGTACGTCCCCAGCAGCGAGGACTGCCAATCTCACCTGCCTGGGTCATCCTTAGCACCCAGGCGACAACGAATCTGGGAGAACAAGCTCCAGAGAAGCATTCTGCAGGCTTTTTCTGTGTTTTAATTAAGGACAAAAGAAAGGGGGAGTTGGGGGTGGAGATTGGGTGTAAAGCAATATATGTGTACGGTTACCTATACCTAGAAGGAAGGTTTCAAAACCAAAACACAGATGAAGATACCATTTTGAGGGTGCCAGGTTTCCTCCTGCTCTGAGGGGCGCAGCGACCCCCTGTGGTCCGCTGTTCTCCTACAGGGACCTCACGAGCAAGACCCAGGCAAGCCCGACTCCGAACACTGGGTCTAATTAATCGTTTATTTTAATTAATCCCATCTGTCTGACCCCCTCTTCGTTCTCCCCGTTTTCTTGGCTCCTTGTGGGGCCCTGCGCGAGCCGCGGGATGCGACGGTCCGGCGCACGCAGAGACGAGGAGGGAGGGGCGGGACGTTGGGGGCGTGGCCAGGCCTGGGGCGTGCCCGTGGGGCGTGGTCCCAGGGGGCGTGGCCTGGGAAATTCCCCGGCGGGGCGCTGCGGTCAGCTGAGCGGCGCCGGGCGGGTAGTGAGTCGGTGCATCAGCCCCTCGCAGGCCGCCGCCGCCCCCACCCAGCAGGTCGCCGGGCCGGCGTCCGCATCCGGGTCGGGAGCTGCCCTCCAGGGCGCGATGCCGAGGAAGCAGTGATCCCGAGACAAGCCGATCGCGGCGGCCGGTGAGCCGGGACAGGGGCGAACAGGAGTAGATAATTGGGGTGGCTCTTTCTTTCCTCTGGTTGGCTCTGGAAGTGGTTCCCGCTGCCTGATTGCCTGCGGCCCCGAGCCTGCCAGGGTGACGGTGGCTAAGGGTGGCGTGTCCCTCCCGCGGGACTGCTGTCATGGGAAGATTTCCAGGCCCTAGTCGATCTTGACCTGGTGTGAAAGGGCAACGGGGCAGAGGATGGTGGGGACAGACGGCTACCTCAAGGGGTCCCCGTTCCCTTGAATGGTGAAAATACCACGGGCTCTGCTGTCTGCAGGTGACTTCTCTGCAGGTCACCGAGGTGGTTTGAGGGTGACGTCCCTTCTGCAGGTTTAGAGTGGTTATGCAGCCAGTTCCTGATTATAAGAAGGAAGTGGTTAAAGGTACACCTTTGGAAGACTTGAAAATACTCTGGTAATGAGGTGGCCCAGGAACTGCAAGGAATAATGACCCTATCCAACGTGGTGGGCGGTGGTGGACAGCCCAGGCAAATGCACACGAAACCCTTATGCCTGAGAGAGGAGTGTGTGTGTGTGTGTGTGTGTGTGTGTGTGAGAGAGAGAGAGAGAGAGAGAGAGAGGATATGAATGAATATTTGATGAGGCTGAGAACCTTCAAGAATTGCTTTTAGCTTTGAAACTATGTAAGCAGGAGGCAGTGGAGGAGGCCGAGAAAATGAAACCTAGCTTTTGGCCTGGCCTCCACCCACCAGGAGTAGTGTTGTATGGAAATGTATGCTATGGAGTGGTTTAAAGACGATATGGAAAACTAAAGCCTTAGGAAAATAAGTGAGGCAGTGCTAAGACACCCAAATCCTTCAGAACTGGCTAGTAAGGCCACACTGTTAATCCAGGCAGCCACCTACCCGTTTGACCTAGGAAGAGAAGAGATAGGGAGCCAGGCTGGTTCCCAGGAGTAGTCTGTTTGTATTGGGCTGAGAGGGCCCAGAGCAGAGGCCAAGGCCAAGGACTGCCCTGTAATGGATAGGACAAGTGAAGTTTCTGTGTGGACTGTACAGAGAGGAGGAGGATTGACTTGAGTCTGTGGGTGTTTGTTGATCTCTTTTTATACTGAGCCAGTTCTGGGGTTCTTCATGTGTCGTGTACACCATGAGAGTCACAGTACCTTTTTTACAACAACCTTTGGGTTGCATATTATGCTATGGAATCTGGGTTCCATCAAATCAAAAAAAAAGAAAATGTCTGTTAAATGTTGCCATGGTCTTTGCAGAGTGCAGTATAATCACCGTATATGTAAGGAACTTTCATGTTGGCAGATAAATGATCGATGTTACAAGGACTTCATTTTTAGACCTCTTACCTAGAATTTTAGCATTCCTCTGCAAAAATAAGTAGGAACATGGTTATTCAATAAAACCTCATTTATATGAAATGTTAGCAGCAAGATCATTCTGTGAAAAACTGAATTTTATGGAAAGTCAGTAACTGACAATTTATCCAAATTGCATTTTTTAGGGAAAAAAGCAGTCTATTTTTGTCTCCTAGTGCTAAGTGTTGGAAAACAATCTCATGATAATTCTTTTCTAAATTTGGTTATGTAAAACATAGATACAAGAGGTTCACAAGCCATGTGTGGTAATACATGCCTGTAATCCCTGTACTCGGGAGGCAGAAGCAGGGAATCACGGGGTCCATGCCAGCCTGGGCTATATAGGAAATTCCAGGCTAGTCTGGGCTATGATAAGACTGTGTTTCAAAAAGCCAAAACAAACAGAAAAAAAGGTTCACAGTTGTACAGCAGTACCATTGCTTAATCCTATTTGTTACATAGATGGATTTAAAGTTGGCATGTGGCCAGGCATGGTGGTGCATATCTCTAATCCCAGCTATTCTAGGGGTGGAGATAGGGAGGGTCACTGATTGAGACCAACCTAGACAACAAAGTTAGCAAAGTTAGCTGAGTCCCAGCTAGGTGGGAGGCACAGGTGGCAGATTGCTAGGAGGATCTTGGGCCAAACTGGGCAAAAACTTGAGACTCTACAAACTAGAGTGGTGTGTGTAGAAACCTTTTCAGAGCATGCAGTCCCTGAACAAAGGTCTTAGTCTGTGTTCACTGTGTGCCCAAGCAGTCAGCACTACCTTTACTGTGTTGTCAGACTGGGTTGTGGTGCCTCCTTGATGCCTGCCTATGTCATATGTTACGTGTTGACCTTGGACAAGCTGAGCATCCATGAACTCAGTTTCCTCACTGTGAAAATAGGTAACCAGCAATGTTTTGATGAACAGAGGATGTCTGATAGTGTTTCAGCACGGAGTAAGCACTAGAAAAAAGTTACTTCTCCCTTTCTTTTTAATCAATATCATAAGTAATAAAATGTGGAGATTTTTAACAGCTTCATTGGTATATAATTCACCTACCATACAGTTCACTCAAAATAAGAAAGTTCAAAATTAAAGATTTGTAGGGGGATTATTATTATTATTATTATTGGCAATACTGGGGTTTGAATTCAGAGCCTCATGCTTGCTAGGCAGTCTCTCTACCACTAGCCAGGGGGGAGTTTTATTTAATGTTACTTTGTCCATGCCTACAAAAGCATCCTCATCACCATGATGCTGAAGCCCTCTTCCTCTGTTCCCAGCTCCTCACTGGGCCCCTTCATATACCCAGGCACACAGGAAAGTACATGCATGCACGTATTTCCCTGAAGCTGGGCCATGCCTTTTGTGTTAAAGGAAGAATCAAAAATATATGAAATACAATTGGAGGGAAGGTTGGCAACTTTGGGAGTAAATATTAGTCATTTTCTATGTTACTTGTGGGACTCACGGAGATCCTAGGAGAGGAGGGACAACTATATTTTCAGTTTGTGGCTTTTCCACAGGACCTGCTGCTATGTCCCACCAACCTCTGAGCTGCCTGACTGAAAAGGGGGACAGTCCCAGTGAAGCCCCAGGAAATGGACCCCCACACCTGGCTCACCCCAGCCTGGACACGTTCACCCCAGAGGAACTGCTGCAGCAGATGAGGGATCTCCTGGTGGAGAACCACCAGCTGAAAGGTGAGCCACCCCATATCCCTGGTGATGCAGGGTCCCCCCAAACAAGGCTCCTCGGCGGGTGCCCTTCAGTCTGCTTTCCTGGAGAAGAAACAGCACAGGGTAGCCCTTGGCAGGGATAAAGGGCTTTCTGTCTTTATTTCTGGGTACAGGTAAGAATAAAAAGTGTTCTGTCTTGGGGCTGGGGTGTAGCACAGTGGTGGAGTGCTTGTCTAACATCCCCTAGGAGGGTCCCTAGCACCATCTCAGGGAAATAGCACAATGATATTTAGACCTTTGAGAGGAAAAAGAGAGGAAGCCTTGCTAAGAACACAGCTAACCCTGAGTATCACCTAGGAAAAGAAAGCATTGTGCCAGGCAGGGTGGGGCACTCCAAGGATTGGGAGTTCCAGGGCAGCCTGGGAAACAAGGTGAGACTCTATCTCAAAAGCAAGCAAGCAAGCAGAGTATTCTGATATCTCAAACCATAGATTTTGGTAGAACTGGTGGTTTAATCAGCATCCTAGTGATTAATGGGGATTTGTGCTATATGAAGGTACCCAAATCAATTCTATTTTCTTGGAACTTTGTGGGTTTTTTTGAGACAGGGTCTCTCTATGTAGTCCAGGCTGCCCTCAAACAGGCTCCTCCTGCCCCAGGCTTCCAAGGGCTGGGATTACAGATGTGGGCAACGATGCCTGGCTTTTCTTGATGCTTTTAAGGACTAGATATGATGCTAAGTGCTTTAGTCCTGTCTGGAAGCAAAATCACTCACATCTCACATCACTATAAATCACTCACATCTCATATCACTATAAATATCTATCTATCTATCTATCTATTTATAGATAGATAGATAGATTTTTTTTTTGGTGGTACTAAAGACTGAACTCAGGGCCTCCCACTTGCTAGGCACCCCACCACCACTTGAGCTACTCCCCTCAGTCCTTTTGCTTTTAATTTGTTTTTCAGATAGAGTCTCATACCTTTACCCAAGTCAGCCTCAAGCTGTGATCCTCCTATCTCTTCCTCTGAAGTAGGTGAGATTATAGGCATGCACCACCACACCTGGGCTCACTATAGTCTTTTTTTCCTGCTGACCCTTGACCCAGGCCAAATAAAGCATATTTAGATCAGAGCCTTATAGTAAAATGGGCAATGGGGAGGTTTGGTTCGTGAAATTCCATACGTTCTCCTGATTGTGACTTCCTTCCTCTGTACTCTACACAGAAGCCATGAAGCTAAATAATCAAGCTATGAAAGGGAGATTTGAGGAGCTTTCAGCCTGGACAGAAAAACAGAAGGAGGAACGCCAGCTCTTTGAGATACAGAGCAAGGAAGCCAAAGAGCGACTGACAGCTTTGACTCGTGAAATGAGAAACTGAAGGAAGAGCTGGGAAAACTAAAAGGGAAACTGGAAAGGTCATTTGCGGTGAGCAAACTGAGCAACTCTGATTTGATTTTCTTTAATATTTGCTATAGAATCTTAATTGTCTAGACTCCTAGATCAATGCCTTTCATGATTCAGGCTGGACTGGCGTTTTGCAGGTCTTGAAAGAAGTGTTTTGCTGAAAAGATCGCTTGTGATTTTAAAGATCAAGTATAATCTCTGTTGGAGGAAAGAATTTTTGAGACTTTTTCCATATTGACTCAAGTCAAAAAAATATTGAGATCATAAATCGACGCCTTGCCTTCACTGCAGATGGTGCATACAGACCTCTGCGTGGAACCACCCACTTGGTAGTCTTTAGTTTGTCTTTAATATAAAATTGTTTTTTTTTAAATCTATTACTCTAAATTTTATTTCTTGACCTTGTCCCTTCTCTCAGTCTGAAATAGAGATTATTTATTTCACATGTTCCTTTAGAAAAAAAATGTCTTGGCAAAAGCCATCTTGCAATAGGAGGCTGGCTGTTTGGTTTCCATGGTAAAGGGGAAGAAGACTTGTTTTTGTTGACCCAAAGAACAAAGGAAATGTATTCATACCCAAGAGTGGATCAAAGGTGTTAATGAAAACCAAAACCAGGACACATTGGAAGTTCTTGCTGAGCCTCCAGCCTTGCTGGCTGTTGTTTGTTTGCATTGACATCTGCCATCCACGTTCTTCCAAACCTGGACTAAACCCTTTGGAGGAGGGAGCACTGGGTTGGTTAAGGAGGGATTTATTCCAGAAAATCAATGTTTTGTTTGTTTTCTTTCTTGAGACTTTTACCTTGAAGTTTGTTGATCTCTACATTTTTGATGGATAAAGAATGGAAACAAGAAATAAAATAGAAAATAATTTCAAAGGGAGGGATGACAGAGGATAAAGATGAAACATGTTCAGGGAACTATAAAAAAAGATCACTTAAATCAAACTCTTATTCATCTTCCCCTGCTCACAGGATGAGGAAAACATTCTGCTTGAGTCATTATATTCGTATTGGACATGTGTCATTCTTGATAAGATTTATCTCGCCTAATCCTTCAACCTGTCTTACGGAGTTCAAAGAACATTAAGTTGTTTCCTTGGTGGGGTAGGAGTCTCTCATTAGTTGAATATTTTGAGGAGAATTCTTTGAAGAAATGATCCCTCTCTCCCTCCCGTCCACTCCGTCCTCCCTCCCCTACCGCGTCTTCCGGCTTCTTCTTCCCTTTCGCCTGGCTCAGGTCCCGCGCCAGGAGCACTGGTCCCACCTCCTCACGCAAACAAAGGCAACACACCTAACCTCGTCTACAGAAAATATTTTCCCCTCTCCCCACGCAGCAGTAGGCACCACTGGCTACATGTCGCACCCGCCTCCTCCCCCCCCCCCCCCCCCCCCCACCTGGAACATATGAATAATTTCCTACTCTCTGAAAGAAAATATCTTACATTATTTTCCTTTTTTGGCTTTTTGGGGAGGTGAGTTGACAGTTGGCTCTGTCTGCTGGGACCTATCACATTGAAGCCAAGAAGGAAGCTTCTAGAACACTTTGTCTTTTGAGATAATCTGCCCACAGGTTTTCTGGGAGGCTCCACAATTGGGAGCTGTTGAGACAGAAGCTGGAGCTCTGTCAGCTGCTTTCAAGGCAGATGACCGATGGGCACGAGGTTGGAGCAGGACCCGGGGCTCGGGGGTGGGGGGGTGGGAAGAAGAAATGAACTGCTTTTGAACCCTTGGCCATCAGCCTTTTCCCACCAGTCTGAGCTACTCCATCCGCCCCATTGCCTCCCTGCCTTTTCTTTAGTTTTTATTTCATGGATCCTTTGGAGAGATTTTTATTGAGTCCTCATCTTCCTGACTTAGTAAAGCTAAGGCCTCTTCTGACTGTTCTCTCTCATGCCACCCATCCTTGGTGCTGTTTCCTACAGATGAGAACATAGGAAACCCCCTCCCACAAGCCAGCAAGGCTTCTCATGTGTTCTGAGCCTCATGGGAGCCAGAGTAGGCATTTCCGTGGAGGTCTGCCTTTCCATCCTCAGTGTGAGCTGAGGTGTGAGTGACTCTGCCTGATTTCACCCAATTATGCATTAAAATGATCTCCAGAGAGTACTTTGTAACTTTTAATTGTATAAATGGCCAGGTAAAGACCATAGATAAACATTCCTTCTGGAATTCTAGCTGACACATTAACCTGGACAGCGGTACATTTTCAGGAAAATGAAATGGAAAGCCTTTACAAATACATGAAAAGATAAATTGTGTTATGGGAAGGTCAATGGTAAGGGCTCAAAAGTGAACATGTAGTGATAATGGAGTTGCAGGAGATTTTGAAAAAATAAACCACAGCGCTTGCCTGGCATGTGTAAGGCCCTGGGCCCAATCCCCAGCACCATTCTAAAAATGTCCTTTGAGAAGTCAAGAGGGTACAGAGGCTAAGACTGAAGATTCCTAATAAGGTGTAGTTTTGCCTTTACCTGCCTAGTCTACTTCTGATTCGAATACCATTTTCATTCTTCAAGTTTGTTCTTTCCCTTTGAGTCCTCACTGAGGTAGCTCACACAGACTTCTGACCTTCCTCATTGACCTGAATCCCTGGGTTCACAATGAGTTGCTTTTCTCTGAGGCCTGTAATGGTTCCCCAACAAGGGATAGCTCCACATGAAGAACATTGCCCCTGTAGTGTGAAGAAAGTCAATACCTGTGCCTCCATTTTAAAATATTTTAGGAACTAGTTGGTTTATGGTCCACCCATCCAAATCGACACCTCTTTGGTTCAACCATGAGCTTGAGGGCATTTTTTAGTTCCTTGGGAAATCTCTCAGAGGGGCAGGGAAAGGGAAGGAATAAACTCCAGGACATGGGCTGGTGGAGAGCCTCAAGTGGTAAAGCATCTGCCTAGCAAGTGTGAAGCCCTCAGTTCAAACCCCAGTACCACCCCCCCCCAAAAACACTAGGGCAAATTGACTACAAGTGTGAGATCACTTATTTAAATTACTTGTTTAAATAATCTATAGATGGTATTTAATTATACTATAAATTCCTGAGGGCAGTTAAGACTTTTCTTTAAAAGCTGGTCTGCAGGTATTTGTTATTTTACCTTGAACTATTAAGGTGAAGGACTGTGTCTATCTGTTGTAGTTTTCTGATATTGTTGGGGCACCGCAATTAAGGTTTGGAAAGGGAATTGGTGACATGCACATAAGGACCATATAGGTTTTCTGGGGAGGGAACCAAGAGACATGGAGGTCACCACTGGCAGAGACCATGGACTATGTGGTGCTAATAGTTCCAAGGCCAGAACTTCAGGGAGTCTGCTCAAGATCAAATCCGCAGTGGTTAGCAGATGTAGACTACATCTGTTGTCCCTGCTCCAAGTAAAAGTGCCACACCTGAGCAGGGTCTTTCTCCTGTAACTGTCTCTGCAGTCATTACAATTGGGTAAACAACTCATGCTTGACACTAGTGGAATATTTTTTGACACTAGTGGAATATTGATGCTGATTATTCACATTTGTGCATGTGGAAACTTAAGGTTTTCCTTACCATTGGGTTATACCCATCTACTAACATTGGGAGAATTTGAGATTTTTCATGTGACTTACTGTTGCCAAGTAACATCCTTGATGCTTTGGTTTTGAACTAGATCTGAGGGGTGTGGGGAGAGCGGGGTAAGTGGCCATTTGTGGGAAGGAAAAACATAAGAAGGAGGTTGAATTATAACAGCTTTTTGTCCTTGTTTTCTGGAATTTCAAACTATAACTTACGAGGTTACTCAAAGTTTGGTTAGTTATTCCAATGTGCCATGGAATCCTTTCTTTTGTGTCATAAAGTTATTATTTACTAAAACGAAATAGTATAAAAATTCCATTTTATTTTATGGTGCTGGGGATTGAACCTCAGGGCCTTGTGCATGCTAGGCAAGCACTCCACTATTGAGCTTACCCAGCTCCCAGATTTTCCATTTTAAATGATAATATGTCAGAATAAATTGTCAGTAAGAGCTACAATCTTTAAAGGATAGGAGAAGACCAGGTGTGGTGGTACATGCCTGTAATCCCAGCACTCAGAAGTCTGAGGCAGGGGGATTACAAGTTTCAAGGCCAGCTTAGGCTATATAGCAAGTTCCAGGCCAACTTGAGCTACATAGTGAGAACCCCATCTCAAACAAACAAACAAACAAAAAAAAAAAAAAGAGAAGAAGAAGAAAAAAAAAAAAAAAACAAAAGAAAATATTAAGAAACCCCTTTTTGTGCTGGGGGATTTCTGAGTTTGATGGGTAGGCCCTTAGTTTGATTTGTGTATTCACTTTATTCCCTGTCATTTCTAGGACCCCAATGGTGACTCTAGGCCTCCAAGGCAGAAGCAGAACAGGAAGCAGAGCAGCTAAAGACACAGGTGGCCCGCCTTCAGGCTGAGAAGGCCGACCTACTGGGCATCGTCTCAGAATTACAGCTCAAGGTCAACTCCAGAGGCTCCGCAGAAGATCCTTTGTTGAAATTAGGATGGTTGTAGAGTTTTGGTTGCACTTCTGTTGTAAACAAACTATAAAGCGTCATCCAGACAGATGAAAAAAATACCACTATCATTTGTCAACACAGGGAAGCCCAATAATGAGGAAATTGCAGTATAGCAGCATTAAATTGCTAACCCATTTTATTATTTTAGGCTGCTCTGTAACTCTTGCTCCCTTTTGTCTCTTCCAAAATTTTTTTTGGAGGGGAGTGGTTCTGGGGATTGAACCCAGGGCATGCTAGGCAAGCTCTCTACCATTGACCCAATCCCTAGTCCTACTCCTGTTTTTAAGTGTAACATAGTGCTTGCAAGAGTTATCCTAGCTGAAATGAAAAAAAAAAAAAAAAAAAAAAATATATATATATATATATATATATATATATATATATATATATATCAGTTACCTTTTATAATCTTTTTCCCCAACTTGTCTTGGCAAATTAGGTATTTTTGTAACTACCCTAAAAGCAAAAACAACCCCCACCCACCCAAAACAAAAACCACTTGGAGTGGCTCAAGTGGTACAGTGCCTGCCTAGCAAGCATGGTGAGGCCTTGAGTGTAAACCCCAGTACTGCAAAAAAAAAAAACAAAAACCCAAAAAACCACAAACATGAACTTTCTGTCATTTTTTTCAAACCAAATCTCAAAACTAGGTTGAGCAGTTCACTCAGGAACAGAATTGTGATCAAATGTAGTGAACAAATGGCTTTTAAACACTTTAAATAATGGAATTGTCTTTTCAAAGTCAAATGAGGAACCATGGTAATTAAAAATGAGAGGAGGGTGGCAGACTGAGGGGAGTCTAGATTTTTCCCTCCCTTCCAATAGCATCTACGAGGCATCTCTGAGAACTGAGTTTGAAGCCAGTGCTATCCAACTTAAATTTCTATGCAACCCAAAATGAAATGGGTTAAGTGAGGTGGTGTGGACTGATTCCTAGGCTCTTGTAAGGGTCTTTGGGAGTGTCTCTGGATGTATTCAGACCTGTTACAGAGCAAAGCAGATGTACAAATCTTGTAGGGGGTCTGTCCTTGTGAGCTACTTAAAGAGATTGGACAGTGAGGGAGAAAAACACAATCCTCTGTATTAGACATGCTCATTTTATCTTTGTCAAAGGACATATCTGATATAGGAAAAGAGATTAACTGAAGAGAGAAATGTTCAACATATATAAGTCAGGAGGAGAGGAGAGTAACTTGCAAAAACTGAGCTACTAGATATGTCTGGAATATGAGCATGGGACTTCCTTATTCACTTGCTGCACTAAAGAGTAATAGAGTTGGAAAATGGCTCTCACTGCCCTTGTCATCCACACTTCCTAATAAATTTTAGATGTATTAATAAATAAGTGGCCAAACTCAAGAGCAGTGAAGATTTGAAGCATACCTTGCTGACTATCCTTTCTGCAAGTGACCAAAGGGGACTAAAGCCTAAGTTTGATCACAGAGCGTTAGCCCTCTGCAAATAACTGATAAAATTTAGGAAGCCCAAATATTTTATCATGAGTTTCCAAAGGAGGCTTCTTTCATAGTTTGCATCATCTTCTGCCTCCCAGATGAGTGACAGTTATTGTTAGCATAAATTTTTGTTTGCCTGGCTTCTGTGAACTCAAAAACACTGCCCATGGTTTAGGAAGAGTGTATCCAAAATATCAAGGACATCTTTGTGCATTTTTGAAGATTTTCTCCATTAGCTTATTGGAATAGAACTGCCTTACAAATCCTATTAAGTCTTGGTCTTAGCCAGCGATGCAAATTATAACGAGAGCCAACTTGGCAAAAACATTGCTTTGTAAGCCTCATCCACAGAAAACTGCCTCCTTTTCTACTTTGCTTAGGTGAATTCTAGCATTTTCCATTTTAAAGGACTGTTAGGAAAGGTCCATGGAGTTGTCACTGCTCTGTGTGACCTTAACCTAGGGAACGAGGGAGATGCCAAGGAGAGAGAGGAGGAGATAAGCTTTCATGGAGTCAGGTTGACTGGGTTCAACAAGAGGAGGCCAACCTTCATGCCTTGGCCTAGATATTTATAATTCTGACAGGACATGCAGCTGCAGGAAGAGTAAATTTCCACTCCAGTTGGATGACCTAGTTAAACCACTTCACATTCAAAAGGTGGTTAGTTTTCTTGGTTTGCATATCATTAAAGTTCTTGATCTTTTTGTCCTTCTTTCTTTTGACAAAGAATTTCTCTAACTGACATATTGTGCTTAAATCCCTCTCATCTATGCTTTCACAGGAAGGAGAAGCAGATGGGTCAATAAGAGAAATCAAGAATAGTCCTGGGCCCATAAAAACGGACTCCACATCCATTAACACGTATGTGATGAAAGACTAGAGTGATCAGACAGACTCACAGACAGGGCAGCCTTGTCACTTTTAGCCTGGTACTGGAGGTCTAACATGAAGGGCTGAAAAGTAACTTCTCTCTAACTTGTACCAGGGCCTTTCTAGAATATTCGATTTGAATGGTATTTAATGTTGCCCAATCTGGCAAAATTAAAATAATGTCTAGTGCCTTGCTAGGCTTACAATGCTGACTACTCTGTTATAGAGGTGTTTCATTTCCATAAACTAGTCCTTGATCAAACAAAGGTATTTGTTCCTAGTCAAAAGACCCATGTTTACTCATTACCAGTGCTCTTTGACCTAGACCAGGCTGCCCAGCTTCCATAAGGGGGATGTGTCCATTTTCTCTTTCCTGTTCATTACAAATAAATGACAAACCAGATGATCTTTTGTAACAACTGTTGTTAGTGCTCTCAGTCATTGTGGGCATTTCTTAAAAGTGTCCAGCTATCTTATCTGTGGAGTCTCAGATTTACCTGCCCCATGTAGATACTAAGAACAGACTTCTTAAATAATTAGAGAGCCTTTGGTGAGGGAGATAGTAGAAGTGAGTGTGTCAACCACTTGACTCAGCCCTCAGCCAGAGGAAGTCGTTAGCTCCTCCTCTGTGTGCAGGTTGCTACTTCATTCGTCCATTTATGAGTCAGTCTGAACATTTCTCTGGATCTCTTCCCTCATAGACTTTTGCGTGTATGTGATACTAGGGTTTGAACTCAGGGCTTTGTGTTAGCAAAGCAGGTGCTCTACCACTTGAGCCATACCTCCAGTCCCCTCTAGACTTGAAAACCTTTCTATAAGTTGTGAAAAGATACATACAGAAGAATGTATAAATGATTAACACAACTTTTTTCAGCTATGTTCCCAAGGCTTCATATCAGGGAGAAAATAAGGATTATATAATATGCTTTCATCAAACAGTGCATAAATAAGCATTATTCCCTTTTTTAGCCAGAAATGCTTCAACTTTCCCCAAATTGCTGTTTTTAATATCAGAAGACTTTCCTGGAAGTAGAAGGAAGGAAGAAAACTGTGTTTGAAAGTTTCAAGCCACTTCCTCCTCATTTATATCCACACGCAAAGACCACTTCCTCTTTTGGGCTACACTGCTAACTTTTTAAAATAATAACAGCTCTGTGTCATTTATGAGTATCAAAAGAGATCAGAGCTAGATTTCTAGGTTTGGAGTTAAAGCTTTGGAGTCTTGGTAACTGGTATTCAGCCCTGGCTATTTATCAGATATGGTAGTTTGAGTAGATGACTAAAATAATAGCTGTGATGACTTTTGTGACTACAGTCATAGTTGTGGGTTTAAGTGTCTCTTAATTCAGCCACATTTGGAAATCGAGAAAAATATTTGACAGTAGTGCCAATATTTTTCTGCTTTGATTATTTGAAACCAAACCAAAACAGGTTTTCTTTTCTTGACTTGCAAATGTGATAGCTTCTGTCCATTTGGAGAAAGGCCAATGGTCTGCCCACATGCACTTGTATAATTTGTTTGACTGCAGTCCCCTTTGTGATTAGATCTCTAGAGAGGCTGGCTCCTCCAGCTAGGGCTGCTGAATTGATTCTGTGGGTTGTGTGGTCTTAGGTTGTATAAACAGTGACCATTTTGAAGAAACAAGTGCTCACATTGTCAGGCTACCTTCTCTGGAGCCTTGTGTTAGTCTTCACGCTTCACCCAGAAAACATGAAAGAGCTTGGCTGGATGGGTCACAGAACCAGCTGCACTTGATTAATCCATGAGAATTAATTGGAGAATGTTCTGGAAAGCAATTCCTGTAAATTAGTCTCAGTTATATTGGGCAACTCTTTTCTTATTCTTGACATTTTCATTTTCTGATGAAAACCTTTGTAAGTTTTATACCAGCTGTGGTGGTGATGTGATGTCTCAATGTAGGAGCAAATCTGCAGAAGGTGCCAGAAATTATTTGGAATTTGAGGAATTAACTGTGAGCCAGCTCCTGCTTTGCCTAAGGGAAGGAAACCAGAAGGTGGAGAGACTTGAAACTGCTCTCAAAGAAGCCAGAGAAAGGTATGAAATAGATTAATATGGAATGTGCACACATCTTAACTGCTTTATTTGAAATATCATTTTAGATACCGCACGTTCACCTGTGGAAAGTGTGCATCTCAATATTTCTAGAACATTCACCAGGTGATGCAATCATTGCCACAACAGAATTTTAGAACGGTTTCCCCTATAGCAGAAATCCAGTACCCACTAGCACTCGCTTTCCACTCCTTCCAGTGATCTGCTTCCTGTGCCTGTAGATTTGTCCATTCTGCGCATTTCATAGAACTGAAGCAATCCATATGCGGTTCTTTGTGACCGGTACTTCACCACTGTTGCTGTTGAATAATATTCCACTGTATGAGTAAGTAAACCTTTTTTATTTTTCTGTGCACCATTTGTTGGCCATTTGGATGGTTCCCTCTTTTTACCGGCATCCACATCGTTTCACATTCACACGAGCAGCGTATGAGTGTTCTACTTTCTCCATATCCATACCAACACCTGCTATTGTCTAGCTCTTATTTTAGCCATGCTAAGTAGATGGGAATGGGTATCTTCTTGTACTTTCATTTCTATTTCCCTAGGGAGTTACTTTTATGTCAGATCTCTATTTGGATAAATATCTATCAAATTTTCAGCTTATTTAAGAACATGAGTGTTTATTTATTTTAATTTTTTATTTTTTATTATTCATATGTGCATACAAGGCTTGGTCATTTCTCCCCCCTGCCCCCACCCCTCCCTTACCACCCACTCCCCTCCTCTCCCCCCACCCCTCATACCCAGCAGAAACTATTTTGCCCTTATTCTAATTTTGTGAGAGAGAGTATAAGCAATAATAGGAAGGAACAAGGGTTTTTGCTGGTTGAGATAAGGATAGCTATACAGGGCATTGACTCACATTGATTTCCGGTGTGTGTGTGGTACCTTCTAGGTTAATTCTTTTTGATCTAACCTTTTCTCTAGTTCCTGGTCCCCTTTTCCTATTGGCCTCAGTTGCTTTAAGGTATCTGCTTTAGTTTCTCTGCGTTAGGGCAACAAATGCTAGCTAGTTTTTAGGTGTCTTACCTATCCTCACCCTCCCTTGTGTGCTCTCGCTTTTATCATGTGCTCAAAGTCCAATCCCCTTGTTGTGTTTGCCCTTGATCTAATGTCCACATATGAGGGAGAACATACGATTTTTGGTCTTTTGGGCCAGGCTAACCTCACTCAAATGATGTTCTCCAATTCCATCCATTTACCAGCGAATGATAACATTTCGTTCTTCTTCATGGCTGCATAAAATTCCATTGTGTATAGCTAACCCATTTTCTTAATCCATTCGTCATAGTGGGCATCTTGGCTGTTTTCCATAACTTGGCTATTGTGGAATAGTGCCGCAATTAAAAATGGGTGTGCAGGTGCCTCTGAGTAACCTGTGTCCATTTTTGGGGTAATATCCCCAAGATGGTATTGCTGGATATATGGTAGATCAATGTTTAGATTTTTAAGTAGCTCCAAATTTTTTCCAGAGTGGTTGTACTAGTTTACATTCCCACCAACAGTGTAAGAGGGTTCCTTTTTTTCCCCCGCATCCTTGCAGCACCTGTTGTTGGTGGTGTTGCTAATGATGGCTATGCTAACAGGGGTGAGGTGGAATCTTTAGTTATGGTTTTAATTTTGCATTTTCCTTTATTGGCTAGAGATCGGTGAGCAAATTTTTTCAAATGTGTTTCTGGCATTTGAATTTCATTCTTTTGAGAAAGTTCTGTTTAGTTTCACTCGCCCATTTCTTTATTTGGTTTATTAGTTTTGGGAAGAATTTAGTTTTTTTAAGTTCCCAATATATCTGGTATCAAGTCCCTTTGTTGATGTGTAGCTGGCAAATATTTTCTCTCACTCTGTGAGTGTTCTCTTCAGTTTTAGAGACCATTTTCTTTAATGACAGAAGCTTTTTAAGTTTTATGAGGTCCCATTTATCTATGCTATTCTCTTAGTTGCTGTGCTGCTGCGTTTCGTTGAGAAAGTTTCTTAACTATACCTACAA